GCCCTCAAGTGCACCCACCAGGGAAAAAAACTAAAAATGCCCTGGACTAACTGTCTAACTCACACAATGGCAAACTCAACTAAACTGCTACATATATGTTGCCTAGTAGCAGTTGTGAGACCAAAGGGAGAAAAAGACTTATTCACTGTTCCGGGCAAAAGGTTAAGAAGTATAAATGCTCACTAGTATAAAAGACAGGAGCCTGTTCATCTACATATGAGTATTATCGATGTAAACTTCATATAGCTCAATCTCTCTAATAGTAAATGTTGCCCACAAGGGTATAAAGTGCATGAAAAAAAGAGAGAAATCAGAGCTAGTAATACTCAGTAGGTATCCAAGAGGGGGGAGGGAGGGAAGCCCTCAAGTGCATCCATCAGAAAAAAACTAAAATCGCCCTGGACTAACTGTCTAGCTCACACAGTGGCAAACTCAACTAAACTGCTACTTCAAGGCAGCCTCAAAGATATCCCTATCATAGCATCAAGTAGGTGTACTACAAGTAGAAAGCGAAGAAAAAAATATAAACTAAAGAAAGAAAATAGAGTGCATTTAACGTTTCGGCGTTTAGACACGCCTTTATCAAGAGCTGAACCCTAACTGTGCTGAGCGCTGATTATAAAGGGAGGTGCACCCCTCCCTCGTAAAAAGAAAAGCCAATCCCTATCTTAGATCCGCCCAAAAGGGGCGTACTCATTATCACTAACTCCGCCTATACCTTCTCCAACCAATAGGGTACGCAGGGGGCGTGGTAACGTCCCGATCGACGGGCGGAAGTAACGTGTCTATATTTGCTCCCATGCTCTGACCCAATGGGGCTCATATGCCCTCCAACGGGATCCGGAGGGAGGGACATATTGACACGTCACTCCTTCAGATAAAAATAGAGAAGTGATACAGCACGATTGCTACAAACTGATGTAGCAATCGAAAAAAAGATCTCTAGGCCTCTTGAGTGGTGATATTGAATGTCTTAATAACTTGGTATCTCTACTCAAAGATAATGAAACTCAACCACCTGTTAAATATACAGAACTTAAACCAAAAAGCCGCTTCAAAACAAATTTCTCTACTTTCAGAAACATTGATTTGTTTCTGGAAGCAGTCAAAAATGAGATCGACTGCATACTTGGACTCTTTCCCTAATGAGAACCTCTCCGGTAAGGAACAGGAAGCTTTAAAATCTTTAAGGGATAACAATACGATAATTATCAAACAAGCAGATAAGGGAGGCAATGTTGTAGTGATGGATATCTCTAATTATGAAAAAATGGTTCAGGACGTTCTTGGTAATAAAGACACCTATAGGATTTTAGAATCAGATCCCACTAATACCTTCCTCAATAGCTATAAAATGATTTTTGACGGGGGTTGCAGTGAAGGTTTGCTATCCGATGAGGAATATACTTTTATCCTCAATTGGTGTCCTAGGATAGCAACCTTCTACTGCCTCCCTAAAGTCCATAAAAATCTTCAAGATCCCCCAGGTCGCCCCATAGAATCTGGGATTGACAGCTTGACTCAGAATGGTAGTCTTTATATCGACCAGATCCTGAGACCATTTGTGGAACGTCTACCTTCTTACATTAGAGATACAAAACAGGTCTTACATTTTCTTTCAAATCTTCAAATCCCGGCTACATCTAATCTCTGTAGCCTTGACGTGGAAACATTGTACTCTTCTATCCCACACCAAAAGGGAATTGAACATACTAAATATTTCCTAACAAAAAGAGGCCCAGATTATCAGGCACACACTGACTTTGTTGTAGACCTGCTGAATTTTGTTTTGACACATAACTTCTTCCTATTCAACAAAAAATTCTACCACCAGGTAAGAGGAACGGCGATGGGCACGGCTTGTGCTCCATCATATGCCAACCTTCACCTGGGGTGGTGGGAAGAATATATTAGGACATCCAGTACACTGTCTCCGTTTCTATCAAGGATTACAGCTTGGTACAGGTACATTGATGATGTCCTGATCATCTGGCAGGGCAATATTGACGACTTTAACCTTTTTGTCTCTCTCCTCAATGTAAATGAAGACAACCTCAGATTTACCGCCGAATTTGGCTGCTCATCTCTGAACTTTTTAGATTTAACAATTTCCATCTGTCAAGATGGTTCCCTTAAAACAAATTTATTCAGGAAACCATCTGCATCAAATTCCTTAGTGAAATGGCATAGCCATCACCCAAGAGCCCTTAAGCAAGGGATTCCGACGGGACAATATCTCAGACTGCGACGAAACTGTTCAGACCTTGAAGAATTTCAGATTAAAGCCAATCTTCTGAGGCATCAATTCAAAGAGAAGGGATACCCGAATAAATGCCTCAAAAAGGCATATAGAAGGGCACTTATGACAAATAGGGTGGATCTCCTGTCAGACTCCCATAACTTAAAAATCACTTCAAAAACTCCCATCAGGATGATAGGAACCTTTGACACTGGATGGAATGAAGTTAAAGAGTCTCTGCGAAGATTTTGGCCTATTCTACTTAAAGATGTTCATTTAAAAGAAATATTAGGACCACATGTTACAATTACAGCTCGAAGAGGCAAAAATCTTCGTGACATCTTAGTTTCTAGCCATTTTTCGGTCAAACATAGTCCCCAGCCTACATGGCTGGGGCGCCAAATCCCCACAGGTACGTATAGCTGTGGAAGGTGCGTAGCCTGTAGGTACATTCTGAGGAACTCAAAGAAAGTCAGTGATAGTGAAGGCAAACAGTCCTTTCAAATTAGACATTTTTTCAATTGTAATTGTGAAGGTGTGATATATCTTCTCACTTGCAGTTGCAAATTGATGTACGCGGGAAAGACGTTCCGGTCCTTTAAGGAACGCATTAGGGAACATGTGAGATGTACAAAAAATCGTCTGGATACTCCAATCTCCAGACATCTTAAAGAACACCATGGGGGATCTTCTAAAGATATACGCTTCTGTGGCCTTGAAATGGTCAAGCGTGAACAAAGAAGGGGAGATTTTGATAAAATTTTACGCCAAAAAGAATGTAGATGGATTTACAAATTAAATACCTTAAATCCAAGAGGCCTTAATGAAGGTTTTTCCTTCTCTCCCTTCATTTGAACGTTTAACTTGTATAATACACATAATCCCTTTTTTGTAATTTATCCCATTTTTCCTTTTTACACTAATTAATCCTTTTCCCCTTTTTTTGCTGTTATATCTAATTATACTCTTTAAATTTTGTCTAATGAACTTAGAATAAGTGATAATTATATGTAACATTTTTTTGGGGGGTGTTGTAACTGTTAAAAAATATGACGAGATGGACTTATGTACTTTGCTGAATAATTCCACCCCTTATGCTCCTTAATAACATTATAGCCTACTTTGATTACACCTAAAGATCCCTTTATATCTTAATAAAGGGATCTAGATTTATACCTGTCTCCTTCTACGTTGCATTATTGACTAAACATGTAAACTGGCCGTTTATCAAGTTCGTGTTTATTCTTCTCCCATGCTAATCGGATTAAAAATATATTCATCATTATGGCACAAAGGTACCCTTAATAATATACTTTTATGGAGACAGGGATGTAACTCTTTTTTTCGATTGCTACATCAGTTTGTAGCAATCGTGGTGTATCACTTCTCTATTTTTATCTGAAGGAGTGACGTGTCAATATGTCCCTCCCTCCGGATCCCATTGGAGGGCATATGAGCCACATTGGGTCAGAGCATGGGAGCAAATATAGACACGTTACTTCCGCCAGTCGATCGGGACGTTACCACGCCCCCTGCATACCCTATTGGTTGGAGAAGGTATAGGCGGAGTAAGCGATAATGAGTACGCCCCTTTTGGGCGGATCTAAGATAGGGATTGACTTTTCTTTTTACAAGGGAGGGGTGTACCTCCCTTTATAATCAGCGCTCAGCACAGTTAGGGTTCAGCTCTTGATAAAGGCGTGTCTAAACGCCGAAACGCACGTCGGGCATTCCTCTTTTGCCGATGCTATTATTTTACCATGTCTTTTTTTAGGCATTTGACACCTTTGCACTCTATTTTCTTTCTTTAGTTTATATTTTTTTCTTCGCTTTCTACTTGTAGTACACCTACTTGATGCTATGATAGGGATATCTTTGAGGCTGCCTTGAAGTAGCAGTTTAGTTGAGTTTGCCACTGTGTGAGCTAGACAGTTAGTCCAGGGCGATTTTAGTTTTTTTCTGATGGATGCACTTGAGGACGTCCCTCCCTCCCCCCTCTTGGATACCTACTGAGTATTACTAGCTCTGATTTCTCTCTTTTTTTCATGCACTGTATACCCTTGTGGGCAACATTTACTATTAGAGAGATTGAGCTACATGAAGTTTACATCGATAATACTCATATGTAGATGAACAGGCTCCTGTCTTTTATACTAGTGAGCATTTATCCTTCTTAACCTTTTGCCCGGAATAGTGACTAAGTCCTTTTCTCCCTGTGGTCTCACAACTGCTACCAGGCAACACATATATCCCTACCAGTACAAGTCCTGGATTAAGGTCAATTCTCTTGACATCTTTAGAAAGGGTTTACTTAAGTATACACCTATAGGGAATCTACATGTATATGGATATGACATAGAGTCATGCAACTTTGATATAACTCCCTATATGAGTAGTTTACTTCAGTTAATTTGCACATCGAGTTAGTGCACTGTTGTATCCCTTTTTTGCCAATTTTTCTATTTTTCTCCAAGATTGGAGGAATTTTTAACTTTATAATAAAGGTTTATATCCCCTTTTTCTTCCCCCCACCCTATGTTATATTAACTTCAGGAGGTATACATCTGTGGAGGATTATGAACTCCCCTCACTAAATTAAAGAAATGTTTATTTTTTTTAATGAGATCTGAGAGTGCAGAATGTATACTTTAAAGTGTGTATTTACTGCTCTGTAAATTGAACTTAATGCATAAACAGGAGACTCGGGCAGACGAAAGCAAGTCAAAGAGCCTGTGCAATAAAGGAAGTTTAAACATTAGATCTGTCTTTACAGGAAGTGTTAAGGCTGGCTGTGTAAGTCAGAGGCAGAGAGGTGTAAGTAGGGATGTATAAACAATGTGATTTATGCTATAAATAGAGGCATAAATAGGAAAATATAATTTTGCCTCTATATAAATCGCTTGAATAACCTTGAATATGCTGTGCAATTTTGGGCACCTGTTCTAAAGAAGGATATCATGGCACTAGAAAAAGTGCAGAGGCGAGCTACAAAATTGATAAAAAAGAATGGAGCATTTTAGTTATGTAGAAAGGTTAAACAATTTAAATCTCTTTAGTTTGGAAAAACGGCACCTCAGAGGGGATATGATAACATTATACAAATATATTCGGGGCCAGTAAAAACCATTATCTGGAAATCTATTCATAAACAGGGCTATACATAGGACACAAGGTCACGCATTTAGGATGGGAGAAAGGAGATTTAATCTGAGACAAAGAAAAGTTTTTTTTTACAGTAAGAACTATAAGGATGTGGAATTCTCTGCCTGAAGAGATGGTTTTATCAGTGTCCATACAGATGTTTAACAGCAATTGGATAAATACTTGCAAAAACATAACATACAGGAATATAATTTCTAATAAGTGGGGTAATAGCTGCTTGATCCAAGGAGATGTGTGACTGACATTTTGGGGTCAAGAAGGAATTTTTTCCTAGTTTGTTGCAAAATTGGAAGCGCTTCAGATTGGGTTTTTGCCTTCTTTTGGAACAACAGCTAAAACATATGAGGAAGGCTGAACTTGATGGACGCAAGTCTCTTTTCAGCTATGTAACTATGTTACTATGCAAGTTACATGACCAAAAGTCACTTAACCACCCGGAAGTCCCTCTAGTGGCTGCCTGGTAAACAGCCACTAGATGTGGTTAACCCACAAAGCTTATTATTGCAGTTTATTAAAGGACCTAGTTAAAGGACCACTATAGGCACCCAGACCACTTCAGCTAAATGAAGTGGTCTGGGTGCCAGGTCCAGCTAGGGTTAACCCTTTTTTTTATAAACATTGCAGTTTCAGAGAAACTGCTATGTTTATAATAGGGTTAATCCAGCCTCCAGTGGCTGTCTCTTGACAGCCGCTAGAGGCGCTTGCGTGCTTCTGATTTTCACAGTGAGAAGACACCAGCGTCCATAGGAAAGCATTGTGAATGCTTTCCTATGGACTGGCTGAATGCGAGCGCAGCTCCTGCTGCGCATGCGCATTCAGCTGAAGAGGAGGAGAGCTCCCCGCCCAGCGCTGGAAAAAAGGTAAGATTTAACCCTTTCCTCTCCATCCAGCCTGGCAGGAGGGACCTTTAAGGGACCTGGAAATATGCACCCAGACCACTTCAATGAGTTGAAGTGATCTGGGTGCCTTTAAGTAATTATTGCCTATGCTGGCTTTTTCTTCTTGAGTGTTTAATCTAAACATATAATTACTTCCAAAACCTTCTGCACACAAATCATTTTTTTAAATTTTATTTTACATTTATTGCAAATGAACTTCACACTGAATCCATACTTGGTTAATTCTGAAAAACTAAGCAAGTCATATGTAAGTTCAGGAAGATAAACTTTATTTTGCACTGTTGTTTAATGCTTTATTTGCTTTTGCAACACATTTCAAGAAGCCATCTCCCTGTCCTTGTATAGAACATTTGATGCCATTAGCAATGTTCTCCATTTGTGTAACATTATTGTCTAACATTTTGAATACGTTAGAATCTTTGCACATGTGCTATGTTGTACTTGAATTAATAGCCCAACAGTTTTTGATAAATGTATATGCCTTTTCATGAACAATAAAATATTTTTTATTGTGTTCTCTTCTGCCATATAGAGCCTTCTTATAGTCAATTTTTTTTTTAAAACACATTTTATTTGTGCCCTTTTTGTGTGCAAATGTATTGCATTGGCTTATGTCATAAGCTGACTTGTTTATTATGTTATGGTTCTCATTGTTTTATATTGCAAATGCTTATGTTTCACTACTTTCTGTTTTTTTGGATTTTTTTTTTTTTTAGCTCTGCTTACTAACCCATCTTTGAGATACATTGTAGCATTTTACAGGTGGATTCTCTCTAGTTTTAAGTGCATGAATTAATGAATTATAACTTTCTTGAAGGCTTAAAGGGACACTATAGTCACCTGAACAACTTTAGTTTAATGAAGCAGTTTTGGTGTATAGAACATGCCCCTGCAGCCTCACTGCTCAATCTTCTGCCATTTAGGAGTTAAATCCCTTTGTTTATGAACCCTAGTCACACCTCCCTGCATGTGACTTGCACAGCCTTCCATAAACACTTCCTGTAAAGAGAGCCCTATTTAGGCTTTCTTTATTGCAAGTTCTGTTTAATTAAGATTTTCTTATCCCCTGCTATGTTAATAGCTTGCTAGACCCTGCAAGAGCCTCCTGTATGTGATTAAAGTACAATTTAGAGATTGAGATACAATTATTTAAGGTAAATTACATCTATTTGAAAGTGAAACCAGTTTTGTTTTCATGCAGGCTCTGTCAGTCATAGCCAGGGGAGGTGTGGCTAGGGCTGAATAAACAGAAACAAAGTGATTTAACTCCTAAATGACACTGAATTGAGCAGTGAAATTGCAGGGGAATGATCTATACACTAAAACTGCTTTATTTGGGGGCGTGGCCGACAGCCGAGCTATATGGCAGCACACTAGCTCAGCTCCTGAGCGGCAAGGACGGAACCGCAGAAAACGGAGGCAATAAACCCACAATGGGTAATCACAAAAAGGCTCACCCTGCTCCCCAGCACTCCGGGAAGACTCCAGCCGGAAAATCGGGCACTGTGGCCCGCTTATTCAGAGATTACTCCGACCGCGCGGCGGACCTCGGGGAATCCAATATGGCGCCGGCGGCAGTAACTGCCGACTCAGATCCTCCAAGCCCCACAGCGTCGGACACATCACAGGTATCGATGGATACTGACATTAAAGGCATACTAAGAAATCTGCCCTCCAGAGCTGACCTAGCTCAGATGCTATGGAAATTGGGAACTACTTTCCAACAGAAGATGGAAAGCCTCAATTCAGAAATAACTCAGGTAGGCCGCAGAGTCCAGGACCTGGAGGATGAAAGGGGGTCACACCACACATTAATGCACTCCCTATCAGCTAAAGTCCAAGCCCAAGAACGGCATTCATCTATGATGCAACGCTCTCTAGATGACATCGACAATAGGGGCAGGAGAAATAATCTACGTATAAAGGGAATGCCAGAAGCAGAAGGGGAAAACCTATATAACATCTTGGCCTCGCTTTTCAATCTTATACTTAAGCGTAAGCCAGACTCACCGGTTATTCTGGACAGAGCACACCGTTCTCTTCGCCCCAAAGCAGCGGTCGGCGATACCCCAAGAGATATTATCTGCCGCATCCACTACTACTCTTAAGGAAGATATTTTGAAAAACTTTAGGGACACCTCAGGCCCCTTGTTATATCAGGGACACGAAATACAGATCTATCAAGATCTATCTTGGCACACGCTGCAAGCAAGACGAGCCCTACGGCCAATTACTGACCAGCTCTGTTCGCGCAACATACGGTACAGATGGGGCTTCCCTTTTGCCCTCATCGTAAACACCCGCGGAACCACGTATACGATCTCTACACACCAGGACATCGTACCATTCACCGAAGCATTGAACCTGGCAGAAACATCCATCTTGGATTGGTATGCTCCTGATCGGGCATTAACAGCACCATCTCAACAGAAAAGACCACGATGGAGATCCCCGGCTAAGAGGCAACGGCTGACTCAAGCTGGACTTTCCCAACAATTAGAAGAAGGAGGACAGACCACAGTTGCTGGACGCTAAATCGCCTCTACTGACACTTTCTAGTAGCAACCCCACGATACCCTTCTATGCACGTCCGATTTTCAATATAAAGACGCTGGCCTCTACTCCCAGATAGAGCCCACCTACAAGACTTGGACATACCCCAACACCATGGTCCCGAAAGGGATAAACCTCTAATGCCGAAAGAGAGGCCAATACGGCCGGCGCTGAAACCTCAGGTCGTATACATGCTTATGTTTTTGCCCTATGTAATTGTGAAAATGACATACACTAATACTATAGGGGTGACTTGCTTAGATATGACTGTGAGGTTAACAAGTATTTCCCACTCAAGGGGTATACATATGCCACATGACGCGACGGGGAGACAAAGGTACCGACCGACTTGGATAAGACTGGCCAGAGAAGGCGGCACAGCCCAGACATACTAAGACTCGGTACACGTTACCGTTTAGAGAAGGGCCTACTACACCGACATCCGACAAAAGGGGATACCCAGGGGAGGGAAAGGTAATAGGACTCACTTGGACAACCCTTGCCTCCTTCCCCCATAAAAAGTGTCATCTGACCTCCTCCCTCGCTACCCTATTGCCTTAACTGACATTTACCTCCATGAAGCATTAACAAACCAGGATGCGGTTCAGCTCCGTGTGCCCCAGAAGCCCACTGTGTTATACTTTGAAAAAAAGTAAATATCGCTAGTTATAACAAAGGAGCTAACAGGGGAGAAGGAAAAAAACCCTCAACCTATATCAGGGTCATCCCAACCTTGCCCACTGTAGACTACGGGACTTCTCAGGGGCAGACCCTAGGTATTTCTATTTCTATAGTTGCCAAAGAGCAACACCGGTAACCCTACGACATCATTTATTGTATATAGTTTTGTTTTGTTAAAATTTGTATATCGCATTGGCATTGTGTAGTATAGCAACACCTTTTGATGTAAGAATTTATACGACGCTAGCCAATCGTTTGGCTTATCGGATACAAACAGGGTACGCATCACGCAACATCCACAGATATAGGCTAAAACGCACACCCCACATGATCATAGTAACCCCCTTACACACTACCCTCCCCCAAACCCTCAGCCATGGCAACAATTTCAATACTCTCACACAATGCTAGGGGGCTGAATACTCCCGAAAAGCGCCACATGGCCCTCACGGATTATCATAAAACAAAAGCGGAAGTGATGTTCATACAAGAGACACACTTTCGTAAAGACTCAGCACCATCACTAAAATCTAGACACTACACAAAGGGATACTTTAGCAATTATGTAGGCTCGAAGTCACGGGGAGTGGCGATTCTCCTTTCCCCGCATCTACCATTCACATACAAAGAACACATATCTGATGACAATGGGAGATATATCTTTCTGAAGGGCCTGATGGGCACAACCCCAATAACCCTAGCCAACATATACCTTCCTAATAGGAAACAATTCCAAGCCTTACGTAAGATAATCAAGCAGCTGGTACAATTTACTGACGGCATGTTGATTTTAGGAGGCGACTTCAACATCTCCCTAGATGGAGCACTAGACACAACCTCACAAGCCTCCACATACCAGGTTTCAACACGGGTGCAAATCCAGAAACTTCTGGACTCACATCAGCTCTATGACTGTT